ATAATTAAAAAATAGACGTTAGAAAACAAAGTATCAACCTGGTGCTATATGTTTTTTTTTAAATTAAAATATATCATAAAACTCAAATTATAATAATTATGTTTTTTAATTATTTTTTATTTAATAATATGATGGAAAAAAAATTATATGATGCAGTATCAACCCAATAAATGAATGTTTTTTTAAGAATATGATATTCTTATATAAAAAAATTAAAATAAATATTAAAATTTAATTTTTAATAAATTCAATATTAGAAAAAAAAGGATGGTAGTGATCTAATGTACAGTAACATGTGATGGGAGGAAAATAATTTCCCCTCCCCACTTAATTCTTGTTAATAATAAAATAAAAGGAAAGAAAGAGATGTGACAATGTGGAGCCTTCTCCTGTGCGTGTCACCCATGGTGCCAGTGTCTGGGGCCATTGGGACCCTCGTTGAAGAAAATTCAACGAGTACGAGTGAAATGAAAGAGCATCTGGTTTACAGCATTGTGGTAGCTATGCATCGAAATAATCGAAATAATGTTCTAGATTAAGGAACAATACGTGATTGAAACACAGCACGTTTCTACTGGATATTCTGTGTTCGCCTGGACATTTCAATATCTGTTTCGCTGATTTGCAACGATATTTCACAAGTATTTGCAACGATTCCTTATCAAATGATAATGTTTTTGAAACATTGAATGTCCTCGATGGTTTACTTCCATCAATTACCAACGGTCAACATTTACTTCAATCAAATTCTCAACTTTGTTATGGCATCGGTAAAGTGGAGCTTCATTATGGCTTGACTGCATGAAGGAACAGTATTTATGTTTAAATTTGATACATCTCCTTGCATCTATGTTCAAATTTGTCGGACAAGGTTTACTTGTATGCTGGCACACAAATTTCAGTACATAAAGGTTATGCAATCCATGCATAAAGGAATGGTAGGTGCTCCATACACAGCAAGTGTTATAAATCTACTGGAGAGAAACATCTCAAGCATTGCCCTAGAAAAGCTTCTGAAACAAAGGGGAAAAAAAACTAAAACTTCCAACAAGAAGGTAAACTATCAACAACCACACTTCTTCACCTTCAATATCTGCTGCCTTTGATCTGCTCTTGTTCCGAGAGAAAGCTGCAACTTTGCTTCAAAGGAAAATTTGAATTTCTGCAACCCAATGGTCCTGCTGGGTAAAGCCATACTGGAGTTCAGTCAACAAATTTTAAATGGCACGGAGATGCATGAATCTCGTAGCATGAAAGGAGAGAAAAAGGTATCGATGTATATTGCAATGTGCAATGTTCACCAAGGAACTCTGAATGATGTTTACAAAGCCTTGTAAGGACAAGAAAAAGAACAGAAGTGCAGACAACAGACAAACATATGCAACTACAAAAATATTTTCCAAAATGTATTTGAAATTGAAGAAGCTGCAACAAACACGAGCTAGATATGGGCTTGATCAAAACAGCAGGTTTCTTTAAATAAGCTGACAAGTATGACCCCTGCCCTCTATCACCAATTATAGTAGAAGAATAGAAAGCCAGATTGGACGCCATAGTTCTGCTGGCAGAAAATGTGGAGGTGTTTAGCAGGGACAAATCAGCCAGCAGTTAGCAGCAGAACAACAAACGAATTTGCTCTTGCTAACTGGATTATATAAGTGAAATAACCAAAACAACTCAATCAACTACTTAAACTTGATCGAAGGCTCTAAGAGGAAAAAACCACTACAGCACAGCGAATGCTGAGACAACAAGTTCCATCTTTCGCAGTTCACACATAATTGTGTCTGTCACAGATCTCAGCACTCCTCTATAAATGGAACCTAGTTTCTACATTCCATCAAGCAAGAGAAGGCAAAAACACGCGTGGCTAGCTGCATTTTGAATTTCAATAAATCGAGAATACATTCGGTAAAACAAAGCAATAAAAATAACGCAACAAGCAAGCAAATGATCAACTCATATTACATTCTACCAAAATCATTTAGAAATTCGTTACCTAATTATGGTTTCGGTATCGGAGCACTAGAGGATGAAAAACTTTCACTTCGGAGTTCTTTCACAACAGCAGCCAGTGCTTCAGGGTTCAAACCCAAATCACAAAGAGCAATAAGCACCGAAAGGGTGTGTCGATCAAGTCCTGTATTAAGAAGGTTTGACATATGAAATGCCAAATCCAAAGATTCTCTTGCAGTCTTTGCAGCCTCTGGATCCATAACAGTAACAAATTTCACAATAACTGAAAAGGGAAAATTTCTCTTTGTGATCTCAACAAGCATTTTGTCCAAAATTCAGTATTTCAATCAAAATAAATCAATAAAATTTAAAACCCATAATTTATAAACTACATATCCAGCAAAATACTCTAACAAAAGTCCAAAACTTCCTAAACTGAGAAAAAGATTAAAGCTTTTACAAAATAAATGAAGATAAGTACCTGAAAGTCAAGTCTTTGAGGATAATACTCTCGTTTGGTTCAATTTAAGGACACCCTTTTCCGTTTTCAGTCAAATGGGTTCGATCTCGTAGCGAATTTGAAGGGGAATCAAATGCGAGTAGAGTGAAAATTTCCTACTTGTAATTTGCCCACAAAAAAAGGTAAAAAATTCCTAGGTGTGTGAGAGAGAGATTTTAGGTGCAGCCCATGAAACCGCTCTGAAATTTATAATAGCCCAATAGACTATATTGACACTCATTTCCTCCCAAGTTCTTGGGCCTCAGGAGAAATCAATTCCCCCCTAGTATTCTCATGAATTTTTATGGTAAATCATATTTAATTATTTTTATACAACTTAAAAAAAAGTAAGAGAAAGAAATTTGAAATGAAGATAGTTATTTTTTACAAGTCAAGAATTTTATATTCTCTCTCTTCTTTGTAGTTATCTATTTTCAAGATAAACTTAAAGAATAATTAATATAATACACCATTTATTCCTTAAGCATTTTAAATTCTTTCAGAAATCACTAGAATCATATATTATATTAATAAACACAAAAAGTCATAATAAAAATATTATGTTGAAGACCTATGATACATGCATTCCATAAGATTTGTTTTTTGTATTTTTCATTATGTTCATTTACCTACCCTATGGGAAACTAAGCCTACCTAATTTTTTTTTAAATTTATTTGATTATTATATACTAACTTTATTACATAACTCTAAATAAAAATGAAATGCATAATAATTATCATTATGCATTCCACTTTTTATACAAAATGAGATAGGAATATACTGATAGCACTTAATATTGTTTTTTTTCAAATTCACAAATTTCTTGACATGCTCATGAATCTCACAAAGAAGGAAAAGAGAAGCTTGATATATGTTCATCAATCTTCACAAAAAAAAAAAAACAATCGCTCAATAATAGACATTCAAGTGTGTTCATTGATAATTATAAGTGGTCGTTGTTTGGATCCATCTAATAAGTGCATGAGGGAATTTTTAGAATATTGCTGCAGAAGTTTTCTCTGAAGATGGTCCCTTCATATTATGAAAAATATTTAAGAATGTAATACTGGTTGTTTAAGTATTTTTTCAAATATATTAAAATAATATTTTTTTTATTTTTAAAAAATTATTTTTGATATCAATACATTAAAATGATCTAAAAATAGAAAAAAATTAAAATTAAATAAAAAATAAAATATTTTTTTTAGAAATACTTTTAAAATATAAAAATAAAAATAAATAGGTTTCAAATGATTGCGAATGAATTCAAGTTAAGAATAGTTATAGCCAGAGTAAAGGTTGCAAGAAGTTATATTTTTGTCGTAGTTATAATTTCTTTTTTCTGCAAGAAGTTTTTGTTTGAAGTTGCCAATTGCTGTTGGTGGTGGTTTTTTTTCCAGATGTTTTCTGAACTTGTAACCTCTACTTTAAAAGAGAGGACAGTTTAATTGTTATAATAATTCATATGGATCGAACTGTTTAATTGTTTGCGCAATGAATCAAATTCATGTTCATCTGTGAATTTTAATGATTTTATTGGTGATAAAATTATTTTTGATCATGTATTATATTTTTTCACAGAATTGGACAATATGTAAGAGATACCTAAGCTACCTCCTATTGATGTGGCAGGGTCATTGGTTTAGAGTCATGGTTAATTTACTTCAGAATTTTATGCTTGGGCTAATATTAAAGGGGCCAACAATCTTTATTGGGATTTGCCCAATAGACATTTTGGGTTAGGCAAGCAAGACCATAAAGGATCTTATCTGTCAGCAAAATCCAATTTGTCCTGATTCCTGAAGTATCTATCTCCTTCAAATATCAACCATTTACTAGTGACATGTAACAGATTTGGGATGCTTTTTGTCTTTGTGCAAGTTATGAAAAGCATTGGTTAAATCACCTGGCTGTTATTTCTTGTAATGTTTTGATTGTCATATATTTGACAGGGTGTTGTTTTGACTATGCTTCAATGATTGCCATGCTAGAAGGAGAAAGTGAAGTCGCAAACTGCTATATAAATCACACAATTTAGGCATAATTTGAATCCTTCTCTCTGTCAAAAACATGGGGGCTCAGTCATGGATAATTATGGTAGTAATACGGTTCTGTGACAAATCGGTAGCTATTTCTAAAAAATGGGACTTCTGCATCGAGCATTTTAGCAGAGCCCAGCATGGAAATTTTGCTGTATTTGACGATAGAGAGGCCACCAACCCTGGAAGCTTTGCTAGGATAGTCTGCTAAAACCAATGATAACTTTAGTGAAACAAGCTTAAGCTACATGTGAACAACTAAACGAAATGTTGGGAGGTATTTCCGAGGAAGGCATTGTGTCTTTGGACAAACTTATGAAAACGTAAGTTAATTAACCTGGCTATTACTTCTTGTTATGTTTTGATTGTCACTATCGTATATTTTACGTGGCGTGACGTTTTCCTTGAAAATATTTTTTAGACATTGTTTGGATTATTGAAGTGAAGAAGTAAAAGCTGTCTTAACTGCAATCTGCTTTATAAAACACACATAATTAATGAACAATTTGGAGTCTTGTAGCCGGCCGACGCAGGGGGGCCCAACCTCAGATAAAGATGTTAGGATTGGCCGGCTCATCTTCGGAATCCGAAAATAAAACAGAGACAGAACACTCTTTTCTCCGTCAACAACATGGGGGCTCAGGCATGGATAATTATGGTAGTAATATGTGCAACTTTCATGCAGATAAGCAGAGCTGTAGACTCCTCCTCTGTAGATGATAAAATCCTGAGTTTGCCAGGGCAACCACCAGTCAGTTTCCAGCAATATGCAGGATATGTAACCGTTGACGAAAACCAAGACAGGGCACTTTTCTATTACTTTGTCGAAGCAGAATCAGACCCAGCATCAAAGCCTCTTGTTCTCTGGCTAAATGGGGGTACTTCAGATTTTATTGTCACTGACTCACTATAGCAGGATGACTCAGGAGATTTAAGTTTTGTTGTATGGTTTAAATACTGTTGTGCTCTTCTGTTCCTTTTGTAGGGCCTGGCTGTTCTTCTTTTGGAATAGGAGCTTTCTCTGAAAATGGCCCCTTCAGACCCCGTGGTGGAGGGCTTCTGGTCAGAAATGATTATAGTTGGAATAAAGGTGCCTCAAAATCTGATTTATCATTTGCGTGGAAACCACTAAGCATTGAACAAATTCAAGACTATGCATTCCCAACTTACCTCGAATGGTTTCCTAAGAAAAACTTTCACAAAAGTTCTGTTGACTGCGAAAGACCTAACCCCTGGTGGAATGCATAGTTCTCTACTAATTATGTCCCTGCAAAGAGTTGCTAAACCTTGCCTTTCTTTTGTGCTGCAGAAGCAAACATGCTGTACCTGGAATCACCAGCAGGGGTTGGTTTCTCTTATTCCGCCAATCAATCTTTCTATGACCTGGTGAATGACACTATCACAGGTAAAAAAATAATTATTCTAACTACTTGATTGCTTAAATACTTTAGCATCTTACCTAGTCTTTTGATAAAGCACAACTAATACAACAAGTCCACAGGGCTTGTGTTTATTCTGATAAAGTCCACAAGTTGATTTCTATCAACTTATCAGCATAACTGTTATTCTTTCTGGATCTTTTTGTAGTTACGTGCATAAGTAGTATATGGAAATATGGAAATTTTATTTTGAAACTAAAAATATTAAGGCTTTCTTATCTTCAGCACAAGACAGTTACATATTCCTGCAGCAATGGTTTGTCAAATTCCCTGAATACAAAGATAGAGATTTCTATATTACTGGAGAGAGCTATGCAGGTACCTTAATTTCTGTGAAGGTGGAAAGCTTCAATTTATTTTGGAAGAAACAACTATAAATTTGTGTCTGTTGGTCAAAGCGAGTGAGTGATCTTCAAGTTCTCTAAATGCAATCCTATATTGACAGGCCACTATGTCCCTCAACTAGCACACCTAATTGCTCAGTCAGGACTAAAATTCAATCTGAAGGGCATAGCTGTGAGTACAGAATAGAACACAGAATTCTGATATTAACAGTTTTCTTCCATTCGTATTCTCAAATCATATTTCATGGAGTGCTAATATTTCACTTTTGATATGTTTCAGGTAGGAAATGCTTTATTGGAGTTCAATACGGATTTGAACTCCGAGGGCGATTACTATTGGGCTCATGGGTTGATATCAGATGCTACTTATGAACTCATGAATTCAGTTTGTAACAGTTCACAGCTATGGAGAGAGAGCATAACAGGCTCTAGCTTCGCTGCTTGTGTGGTTGTGAATAAGAGACTTTCGGTAGAATTTCCTAACGCATTTGATGATTACAACGTCATTGGCGATATTTGCATATCATCTGGTGAATCACAGTTGGATGTTCCCAGTTACCCCTTTAGACCAAAGTTTAAAGTTTCATCATCCACTCAATCAGTACAAGCGGCACTCGATCAGACAGTAAGCTCTCTCTGTCTGACCATTTGTGCAATCTGTTTTACCTTTGGTTTTAACATTGCCGTTGGGTTATTTTTGTTCTCTGTGCATGCAGAAAGATGCTGGGAACATAGATGTTTGTGTGCAAGAAAAATCATCCCAATATTTGAACAAGAAAGATGTGCAAGAAGCTCTTCATGCTCAGCTTGTAGGAGTCACCAGATGGACAGGTTGCAGCAGGTAATAATCCTTTCTGCTTCGAAGCAGATAGCTTTCTTCATCTTGCAGGTGCCATCTTACTTTTTTTTCTCCTGTTTTGAAATGAAAATAGGGCGTTTCAACAAGTTATGTCATTTTCTTTTCTTTGTAGTGTGGTGAATTATGATAGGCGAAACTTCGAGATACCTACAATCAATATTGTGGGCTCACTGGTCAGTTCAGGCATTCGGGTCCTAGTCTACAGGTAACACAAGCAGGTTTTATCTGTTATTTACAATTAGCAAATGTTACTACTATTCGTAACATAAGTTGAAATAACCTCTACAGTGGAGATCAAGATTCAGTTATCCCATTTATGGGGAGCAGAATTTTGGTTGATGGTTTGGCGAAAGAGCTGGGATTGAATGCAACTGTGCCTTACAGACCTTGGTTTGAGGATAAGCAGGTTAGGCTACTTCTTGTTGTAACCTGTTGTAACTGCAGTACATTTCATCAACAATTGAGCTTGGCCTTCATTTCTGTTCAAATTGGTTCAATTTTTCTTCCCAGGTTGGTGGATGGACACAAGTTTATGGCGATATCCTAACATTTGCAACCATCAGAGGAGCTGGACATTTAGCACCATTGACATCCCCTAAGAGATCCTTGGCCTTGTTTTCAGCATTTATGTCCGGAAAACCCCTTCCAGAGGCATTGCCTAATTAAAATGTTGCTAATATTTTTTTATAGAACTGATTTACTTTTAAATATGTGTTTATATGCTTGATCAGCAATGCCACTGTCAGTGTCTTTGGTAGGAAAAGGAATTTGAATGCCTATGCAATGATATTGACCCTTTAAGCAACTTATGCTTTCTATCTTTGTTCTGATAACTCAAGTGCTTGATTTCCTTGTTATTCTCTGAAGAAAAACAAGATTACATTGGAGGATAATCTAAAGGGTTACCAATAAAGAGATTTGTTGAGAATCCAAATTGGAAAGTTGTCGAAGCTTGAAGTTTCCCCCTTGACATTTTCTTTTGCAATCTTTCACTTGAAGGTTTAAAACTAAGTAGGAAAAGAAATTAACATTTGAAATTAACTACTAAAATAATTTTAAAAAATATATTTTCTAAGTTTGGTCGGCCCCTTTATAGAATTGAGCCGGTAGAATTTGCTGATAAAATTTAAATAGGATATAAAATCTGATCAAATATAAAGTCATGGATGTTTTTGCAAGGCTACAGTTTGATGTGTCCTGGTTTCTTTGTGGATTTGGCCTTCAGTGTCTAGCTCATAGACATTCGCAACACGTTCCACAACACTACTTAACGATGCATGTTTGTATTCCAGAACATCAGTACTGTTATGGAAAACTGCTGACAACGTATATATAGATGGGACTGGATAAAGTTTATCTAGAGATTAGAATACAAGTCAATTCTTTTGTTGGATAGAAAATAAATGAAGAAATCTTGTATTTAAAATGCAAAAATTTGAGCTTCTGCACAAAGCTGCAGAAAATGGTCTGCTTGTCATTGAAAGGGATTGCCTTGTTTTTTTTTTCTTGGATGGATATTATTCAGATTGCTTTCCTCTACACAAATTCTTGGGAGAAATGGAAGGCTCGATAGTTTAATTGCAAAAATACAAGGATATTGTCACTAGTGTAGACTAACTATTCTGTCAGAGTTTTCAATAAAACAAAATTTATCTTTTAATTTCAGTAGCAAACCTCTTGTAAGTGAAAGTTAAAGACTGTCTGGTGACAAAATCAATCAATCTTTGCACACAAGTTGCTATAAATATACACTTAATTCAGATTAAATTGATGCCATAAAAATCTTTATGCGATAAGCATTAGGTATAAGCACCAATATAACACAAGACAATTTCATATTCCTGCAGAAATGGCTCGCCAAATTCCCTGAATACAAGGGTAGAGATTTCTACATCACTGGAGAGATCTGTGCAGATACCTTTAAGGTTCATGAAGGCAGAAAACGCTGAGTTCTTCAGAAGAAACAAGTAGCATAAGATTCCTGTCTGTTGGTCAAAGTGAGTGACCTCCAGCTATCTAATTATAATCTAAATCGAAGGTCACCATGTCCCACAATATTGAAATCCGAATTCTAATATTATCACTATGCTTCCATACATATTCTCAAATCAAATCATATTAATGGAGTGCTAATGTTCTACTTTTGATGTTTTGTGTTTTAATATAATAATATAAATTACATCTTCACATCTCATTTAAAAGTTTAAAATTCTGTTTAATAATATAATTAAACTTATTTTTAAAATATTTTTCACTTAAAAAAATTAAATAAATGATTTTTTAGTTGTTTTTCAATAATTTAATGTGCTATTGTAAAAAATATAATAAAAAATCTGAAAATAATATTATTTTAATATATTTTAAATTAAAAAACACTATATATATCAAGCATATATTTTTAAATTGATATGATTACAATGCTTTAATAACCTCAGGGAGTTCAAATTGAAACATAGATATCTTTTGGTAGAAGTGAAATGCATTTATGTGTTCACGCTTGATAAACAATGCTAATTTCTTTACGAATAATATAATTCGAATGCCTACGCAATTGGAGGGATTCCACAATGCCTCTTTAGTCTTTATATAATTGAGGAAAATTCTTACATATCAAAATCGAACCTCTCGTTTTTATTTTATTCTTGTTGTAGAATTTGTAACACCATTGATGATATTACAAAAACTAAATCGATGAAAATGGAAATTAATGATCATCTGTTCTGACAACTAGAAGTCTAAAGCCATTGATACTTGAACCTGGCTGTCATCTTCAAATTAACTAGTTCCTAGCTAGTTGCCAGTTAATGCAACGTCCAGATTTTGCTGAAAAAGAAGTGTGCTACTCTCATCCAAACCTAAAAATGCTTCAATTCCACCACCATCTTCAGTGTCCATGAGCGTAACAGTACCAGGACTTGTAGCGGCATCCACGCCATGCACCCAAGAGGGCTTTCCCCATCCAAAATCTGTTTCATACCATGGCAACCGACACCAAGAATTTACTATATAGGCATCTATCTCGCTTTTTCTCCATGCTTCATCCCCCTCCCTCATCTTCTTGATCATGAGAGAAAATAACTCATCCCCGCTTGAAGCTTTCGCACAATCCTCTACAGTGCTTCTTATCGCATCGTGCACGCGATTTACACAGTCATGAAGCTTAATCTTGCTCTCATCATCTGGCACAAATTGCGCAATCACCAAGTTTATGAGGTTTCCACAAGCATACACGGGCATAGTTAAAGTTGTCTTCCCTCGCATGTTAACTGTAAGTCCAAAAACAGAAGGCCTCAGGTGGCCGTGGATAGCTCGAGCTACCCTTATGAGAACCATCCATATAAGTCCTGTCACAACCTCCACTCGAGTCGGTTGGTATTTCAGCAGCTGGTTTGAATCAAAAGCTGTAGCAATTTCTTTCAATCTTGATATAGTTTCACCTTTAAAGACGAAAGATTTCCTGACAACCTTTTTAACAGCTCTAACACTTATCAGATCGTCCACCGAAGTGATAGCGGGTATATTCTTCGGTGGAAAAAGAGAACCGAAAGGGAAGCTCGGACGACATTGTACATTTTCGATCCCAATTCGGCAAGCAGTGGCCCAAGTGTTGATGAAGGTACCTACCGTGTATGCATCAGCTATCCTGTGTGCCACACATGTACCAATAGCTAGTCCTCCACATTCAAACATATTGATTTGAATGGTTACAAGAGGGCTGTTTTCTGGTTGGAGTACTCGTGGCACCAAACGCGACCACATTTCAGTCTTAAACTCTTCTCTTTCGAGAAGTTGAGATAGGGAACCACTAACTCCAGCTTCCAAATATTCTGCTCCCTCGTCACTACACTCAATTGACAAATTTTCTTCGATGTATCTCCCCCCTAGTGGGTGAAAGAGGGCTAACGTTTCAGCTAGTGATTTTTCGATTTTCTTACTCCGCTCGACATTGTTTCCACCACGGTCTTCACCATTGGCTGGGTAGTAGAAAACGCAGGGCACGTACGTGGGAGGAGCAAGCTGGTCAAAACATGAAATCTTCAAGTTCTTAAGGTTGGGTGGAGTTGGAGATGATGGAGCTATCAGCTTTCTAGATAAGATTTGAACCTTCATATTCAGAATTGAATTTGCGTATGATTTTACAAGAATTCAAAAATCTGGTAAAATATATATAATCAATTTAAGAGGAATGCTTGATATATATATATATATATATATGAAAATATATATAATCAATTTAAAAGGAATGCTTGATATATATATAGGCTAATTACTAGCTTCTTCTAAATTTGTGTTGTTAACATGGATATAGTTTTGCAAAATTAAACAAATTAAGAGCATTTGATGGTACGTTTTAATATTAAAATCAAGTATTAATGAAGTGGAGTTAATTCATTTAAGTTAATCAATAATTAATGCTTGAGGCTGTTCTGTTAAAATTACAAGAATTAGATTGAATTTCAATAAATGAACGTAACATGATGTTTAATCCAAGTAACTTCAAGAATTAATATATCCAGGAAGCTTGTATAAGCAATTGGTAGTCATATAACCACAGAACACGTAGCTGGACTGTTCTAACTTAACGAAGATTCTCGGTTCGAGTATTAGAAATGCAGCCACGTTAAATACGTGGTTGAGAGACCTTTGTCACCCTTGAAACCCTACCAGGCTCGAATCTGGATTAATCAAAGCCCTACGTGCCGGATAATCTTACCAAAAAAAAAAAATGTTGTAATCATGAAAATAAACCTATACAAGAACCTAGAAAAGCGGGAAGAGAACTGTTACATGGACCTTAGATGTATGTCTGAACCAAGCAAATAATTTGACTAGGATCCATTTCATCTTTGGGCCATATATGAAGAGAAAGGAATGGACTAAGGCAAAACCATTAGGAAAAGACGAATCCTAGCCTCATAAATTTTGTCTAAACTTACGTGCAATTGCAATTCTTACATGTACAGGATTAACTAGAACATTTGACCGGTATAAAAGATATTTTTAAGGCTCATAAAAGTCTATTTTTATGTTATGGTCATAAGAGTCTACAGAAGATCCGAGAACATTATGGCATTCTTAATTATCTCCTAACATGTTAGGTTTTCTAACTACCATTGCAGCTAACCATATGTATTCCCTCCGTGGCTATTCATGACTGCCGTCTTAGGTGTGGGATATTCACTGTAGATGTCAGAATAGTTCATGCACACACAAATTATTGTGGATCATTCTATTTATTTTTTAATAATTTATTTTATTCCTTAAAGTTTTATTTAGGTATTTTGATATTAATTTAAAGCTAATTACTTTTAATTTCTTAGTTAATGATAGGATTTGAAAAATAGAGACTAAAATAAAAAAGATGCCAAACATGAGTGGCATTTCATAAGTTTTGAAAAAAATACACTTTGATTCTCGAACTTTCAAAATAACTCAAATTATATAATTTCAGTACCTTAATTTTTTTTTTCAAAATTAGTTTTGATACAAAAAATTTATTTTTATTATTTTTTAATTTTTGATTGAGAGAGTATAGAGAGAGGTTGCTGGATTTCAGCAATAGAGAGAAAAAAATATTATTGATACTGATTTATACCACCAAAACAATCAATATTTATGTTAAATGATTCTATTTGATGAGGAGAATTCATGTTAGATTTTTTTTTTTACATTTAAAGTTAATAAAAAATCATATCTGTTTGATTTTTGGTTTTGTATTGATTTGGCATGATTTTTTTAGTTTTTTGAGATCATGGATAGGTTTACAATGATATCAAATATGTTTTGGGTCAAAAAAGGTTAAAAACCTAATTTTTGATTAAAAAAAAAGAAACTTAAGTCTTGATTTTCCAGCACCACAATGGCCAAAATCTTGGTAAATTAAAGGACATATTATCTAATTATTATTATTTTTTAAAAAAAAGAGACCAATAACATGTTAATGTTATTCACCTTTAATTGCAAAAATTGCAAAAATGAAGAAGAAGACTTAGTTATCTGGGCTTGCAAGAATAGATCTGCAATAGGCCCTGGTGAAATGGGTCAAGTTGACAAGCGTCGAGCCTTTACTTTTTTAAAAAAAATATTTTTTTATAATTTTTTTTAAATTAATATTTTTTTATAAGATTTTTTATATAATTTTTTTTAATATTTTGATTAATACCTCTTCTCTTTTTCATCTTGGTTAGAGAAATGATTATTTTTTTTTTATGCATTTAAATTTTAAAAAGTTTTTATGATTCATCTATATTTTTTAGGAGAAATGATTATTATTTTTTTTGTTATGCATTTAAATTTTGAAAAGTTTTTATGATTCATCTATATTTTTTTTTTGCATAGATGAAGTTTAATTTTGTAAATAAAAAATTATTTTCAAATAATATTTCTAATATATGCAACTTTACATAATTTTTTTCTCCTTTTATTTTATTCAATCAATTTATTTTATATTTTCATTTATATTTTCATTTGCTTGAATAAAAATAATATTTTAATAAATAAATTTAACAAATACAACCGGATAAATATTTCATCTTGCGAGATTAAATATCTTAACCTATATATCTTTTAGTTTTTTTTAGTTATTATTTATGTTTTTTTTCATTTATTAAATATAAAGTTTTCAATTTATATAATTATATATATGCATAAATTTTATATTTTTTACTAATTTTTTTTAAATATAAAAACATATCAGAAAAAATTGTATATATAATTTTTTATTTTTAAAAAATCTGACCTACAAAGAATAACATGTAAAGTATCCAGCTACATGTGGACTGGTGTCTGGTGACGTAGATTTGTTCACGTATCATATATGGATCGGTGACATGTGCATTGGTGGTTTTCTCGAACTTGATACCTAAAACCTTGAAAATAGAGATTCTATAATTATTTATATATCATCCAGAATAAAGGCAAAAAATATCTGTTGCTGGAGCTACCCAGACATGGCTGTCATGTGGGCCTCACGAGGAAAGTAAAACGCAGGGAAAAACCTTTCTTCTTCCTTTCTCGAAACGAAGATGACATCTTTGGTTTCTGTTCCTCTTCAGAGTTCAAATCTTGTGCGGTTTCATTTTCGTTAGATTTTCTGTTCTCTGCTGTTATGGGCTTCCACTTGTTAGAAAATGTATTTTAAGATGTAAATATATCATATAGACTTTTAAATTAAATAACAATTAAGATTTAGAGTTCATCGAACTATAGCAGTAAGCTAATCAATTCTATGAAGGATACAAAAAGTAAAAATTAAATTATATAAAAGGTTCTTAGTCTAAACATAAGAAGAGATTAATAAAAAAATTCAGTGTCTTTCGTTCACACACAACAACCCTAAAATTTGACATGAAGAATCTTTATTATTGACAATACAAACATTAATTTCTAGGCTATTTTTTCAACACTTAATCAATAATTACAGGAATTTTGTATCCTATTGTTTTATCTGCTACATTAATATATACGACATATTAAAATTATTTTACAGGACTATGAAGCTAATCAAATAAAGAAAGCAAAAGGAGTTATTTTAAAATAAATTACTTATTTTTTACATTAGTTTAAATAAATAAATTATTTTTATTTATAGAATTACATAATTCACTGAAACTAATAAAATGACTTATTTATGAAAAAAACCAATCCAGTGAAATTAAATAAAAAAATTAATTATCTTTTTAATTGAGACTCAAGATAAATTTATTTTTTTCAGGGTGGTGGTAGTGGAGAGACTTAATCAACCATCTTAAGCAATATATTTGTGGGATTAAAGGGATCAAACTCGAATTTCTTGAAAGCAAGAAACCATATGCATCAAATCTTAACGAGGGAGGAAAGTATCCAACACTAGAAACGTTATATGTACTAACAATATACGAAGCGGAGGAGATTTCATCTATGTTTAAGAGTAATATAGGGATAGTGGATGAAAGTCTTTTTTATTTAAAAATATATTAAAATAATATTTTTTTTATTTTTTTAAAAAATATTTTAATTTAAATAAAATAAAATAATATAAAAATATTAAAAAATTTAAAAATTAAAATTTTTAAAAAATATAATTTCAATCACGTTTCTAAATACTATTCAATTACCAAATGTTAAATGTATCAACAAAAATTGAATTGAAAATATTCAAGAAAAGAGATTAAATTTGCTATGTTGTGTGTGGTCCCACCACACACCATGTGATGGTGGGACAATATGTTGTGTATGGTCCCACCACACACCATGTGATGGTGGGACCATCACATTAAATGTCATGTGATGGCTGTCTTTTGGTATTAATATTAGTGTGGTTAGGGTACTGTAGCAACAGATTTGAAAAGAGAAGGGAGGAGAAGAAAAATCAAGAGAGAAAAAGAGAAGAAAAGGCAGCAGAGCAGCCTTCATTCTTTCTTCGATTTCCAGCTCGTTCACCGTTGGATCGGGCTGAGATTTTGACAGCAGCTTCTAGACACGTTGATCTTCATTCTGAACGGTTGGATCGAAGATTGGTGGTGTGGAAGCTGGCCGTTTTGACAGAAAACGGGGCTGTCAGTTTTGTGAGTTTTTCTCAAATAATTCTCCTTTAATCTTGTTGTAATCCGAGAATAAGTTGTTCTTGATGATATATATGTTGTATCCCTTAGTTGAATCTGAGGAAGAATGATTGTGAACCCATTATTTATTAATAGTAGAAGTTTTTAGGTGGACTACGGTCCCGTGGTTTTTCCCGCATCGGGTTTTCCACGTTAAAAATCTTGGTGTTGATTTTGTGATTATTTGCATTATTTTTCATCATTGTTTGATTCTGTTTTACTGCACAAAGAGGGAAAGAATTGGGACTTGTGAATTGTAATTGTATTCCGCTGAATTGATCCGGGTAAATTGGTGTCCGATTGTTCCTAGTTTTCCCAACATAATATTAACAAAAATATGAGATTTTATTTATAATATCCACACCAACTCCAAATGATTGATGAGGTGGTTGGTAAGATGCATGAAGTCTACTTAGACTGCGTCTGGTACAATGCCACCACATAACCCTTGAAACTATTCACAGTGTAGTTGGTGTAGTTGATGAGTCCAAGCTGTCTTTTGCAACGACCGAATGAACTTAATTGGAG